TAATGTTATGTATAATATTTAATGTAAGATGATAAACTATAAACATAAAATTTCATAGTAATGTTTTTTTAACTCGGATACGATGGAAGTTATTTGTGTACTTTTGAGTTAAAAACTGTATTATGAGCGTCACTTTCTTAATAATTGGGTACTGTTGTGGAATAAAGTCTAGTTAAATTATAGTACAAGTCCTTGCTAACACAGAATTTTTCAAAAAATGATTATTATAATGTTCTGTGCCATGAGAAGCCGTGCCACAAAGCTTAAAGTTCATGTACAGGACTTTTTCCTTGGTATTTAGGGTACATAGAATAGAGATATTTAATTCCAAAGGTGTGCCTTGACAAAAAATTTAATTTTATTTCAGGACGCGTAAATGCAAATTGGGATAAGATTGTCTTATATACACGAACAGTGAGAAAATTTTATTTTTGACACAACCGCACACGTTACTTTAAAGGTTCAATGACACTGCCTTCAACAAACGCGATTGAACGTCTTCTACAATGTATGGTTTACAGATGTTGCTGTAATTCATGAGCATTGACGGTAATGTATTAGCGATGTTTGCTGAATGAACGAATCGACTTCTATTATTTTCTAAGAAAAGATTTGTTGCACTTTCAAAGCCTTAGGTCTTAGGTAATTTCTTGGACAGTACTAAGCGGTACATGAGTTCAGTGCGCAAGGTTTTGAAACAGATTAACTTTGCCACTACATAACCGCCTTTTTCCAAACTAAAAACCACGTGATTATACGTGAAATTTAAACCATCAAGTCCTTGTATTATTTCTTTGATATTTGCGTATTGACCTGGTTGTATGTAATCTACATAAATCTCAAGATGTTCTTTGTGTACATTATTATGTAGCCATAGTATACATTTAATGGTGTTTTTTTTTCATTGTGTATAATCGCATGTTGAAACGTCAATGGCGGTAAAATCTCTGTTATACCAACATATCATTGGCATTGCAAGCTATCTTGTTGAGGTAATCTTGTCACGGAGTGTGCAGTTGTATTATCAGACTAGCAGTGCATGCTACTATTGCAAGGCAACACAACGTGGAACTCGTCCTCCATTTTTTAAAAATATTTAAAAATTACCCTCCACTAAGAAATTAAATTTTTTAATAAATCCCTTCCAGCTGACAAAAGATTCTTTAGAACGTCTTTTCACTCAACATTTCAATATCTTGTTAACCTCAAAAAAGCTTTTGTAATTTTTCTTTTGCACTCTGCTTAACTCTGCCTCATAAAAGAAACTGTCAATGTCTTCGTCAGCCAAATCTCTGAGAAAAAATATTGGAGGTTGTCACACGCGAGAGTTACGCACAATTCTAAGCAGTTCGTAAGTCTAACTGCTTTTGTACTTTTCATGATTTTCATAAATATGTCTGTCATAACATTGTTGTATATTTTTAGGTACTTACGCAACATTGTGCCAAGTCACGTCAGCTGGTGCCATCTTTGTCAACAAATGCTTCGTGTGATTTTATGCCTCTATTATACTTGGAAGAATATTTACGAAACGTTAGTTACTTATGTGTGTAAATTATCGCCACATTATTTCTTTAACAGTTCTTATGTAACGTTAAAATAAGGCAGTTTTCGTCTGTTGGCTAGGTGCTACTTTATATTCAATTATATTTTTTCGAAAAACGAATTGCACTTCACGACCTACGAATTCTTTGCCTGTATCCATTTCAAGACACATTTGTGTACGATTGTTACTTCTTGATAAAATATGTTAAAATTCCTTGGGAATGTTTTTCGATGTTTCAGTCTCGATAGGTACCACCCCAACGTGATTGCTGATGACATAGATGACAATGAGAACACAAGCGTAGCCATCATTGTAAGTATTTAAACTTTTAAGTCCATTAAATTAGCTTCCTATACGTCGTCAAGGTTAAACACGTTATAGCCTCTTCTAAGAAAGCTATTTCTCATGGGTCCAAGTAAATTATAGGTATCTTGACTGTCTAGCGAACTAATAACGTCCGATCGTAAAAATTTTTTACAGCACTCGCAAGTTTGTCACTACCAGCGTATGCAGTTTATCGCGCCCCTACGTTGTAAAGCTTGTGCAAAGTCTCATGCATTATAATTTTACTCCGTTTTTTTTTTAGACTTAGATCTCAAGGCTCTCTTAATGTGCAAAAAAAGCTTCTCAAACGTAATCTTATCACGCATGCAACATGCCGTCAATAAAGCGACTGTTTGCTCGTCTGGCAATGTTTTTCTAGCAACTATACGCAAAAAAGCAAAGTCAGCCGACGCCTGATTGGCTTTTTGACATTTGCCCTTTTTCTCCGTAGCGTAGGCAATATCATGCTGACGACATGCTTTGTCCAAGGGATTGATACTCACATCACCGTGCCTAATAATGCGCTTCAATAGCTTCGTTTCAGTAGCAAAATATTTTTATCCAGGTTCATGAATTTCAAACGGTATCAAGTTAATTAAAGTGTTAAGAGCACTATTTTTTCCTTCTTCTCAAGTTTTACTTCTGTTTCTTCGCCCTAATTACATTTCTGCTCACTAGATGCTATGTGTGTACGTTACTCAACGTAACTTTTTTAACTTTTTCTCCATTTTTCGGTGACGTCATTGATTCAGTAACACTTTCATCAAAAAAACTTACACTATTTGACGTAGATCTAGGATTCTTATTTGGCTATTTTGATTTATCGTTGTCGTCATTGTTTTTGTCAATCACTAACCTCTTAAAAATAGTTTTTAACAAACCTTAAATGGTAGGTTAGTTTGATGTATTGAGTTCATATTTCGTAAGGAATTTCTGAACCTTTATGCACAATGGCAATAAATAGTATTCTTCCTAATAAATCTGTAGCCTTAACAAGTTCAGAAATCAAGATATAAAAATGGTCAAGTTTTTTTCTGCACAGCATACTTTTTGTATGACATTCGTAGTATAATACTGTTTAGTACTCGTACTTTAACAAAATTAAACTAAGTAATATAGACTTTTGCCTGGTATTTCATGGAAACCTCACATCAAATACATTCATGCCTTGCTATGTAGAAAGTATATAAAAATGTTAGGGCAAAAGGCAATATTACTTAATTTGATTTTTTTTAAAGTACGAGAACTAAACAGTATTATACTACGAATGTAATACAAAATGTATGCTGCGCAAGAAAAAAAATTGACCGTTTTTATATCTTGGTTTCAGAACTTGTTAAGGCTACAGATTCATTGGGGAGAATACTATTAATTGCCAGTGTGTATA